CAGCCCTTTTGCACCAAGAAGTACCACGAGGGAGAGATCACGAGATTTTACTGCCTCCAGTGTCAGTGTTGTGTTTGCCATCTTTGCATCGTCACGGATCATCAAAGTCACAAAGTTATATTGCTCGACGAAGCGGCTGACAACGAGAAAGAAAACATCATGGCGGATGCCGCAGAGAGCCGAACAAGGGAAAAAGATTTAAAGGAAACGCTTCAACAATTCCAAAACACAGCAAACAGCCTGCAAGAAAATGCCCGCATCGCTAAACGAGGAGTCTCTCAAGTAGCCGAAAAGATGATCGCAGAGATTCGAGAGCGCGAGCGGAAAGCCATTGAATCAATCGAGACAACGTGCGTGACGAGACTCCAAAAAATCAATTCGACCCGACAGGCAATAGAATCTCTGATGAAACAAAACAACAAAGTTGCCGACTTTGCCGAAAACTTGATACAGAAAAGCTCGAGCTGGGACGTCATGCAAAACAAGCCAAGTTTGAAGCAGAGATTTGAGGAACTTCGAGGAATCCAAGCTGCACAACACCATCAGACCTCGTTCATCAAGTTTTACCCCACTCCTGCTGTGGGCTTCAACTTGGGCGACATCGCCACCGAAGACATAGCAGACGCTAGTCGGTCCACTCTAGAGGTACTGGATCAAACTTTTCAGGCTGGTTTAGAAGCAAAGTTCATTTTATCCCCCAAAACACCTGATGTAGAAATAAGTAACCAGACTGATCTCAAACAGCAAATTGAAGTTCTCATACAACCAGACAAAAATGTCACACAAGTCACTGTTTGCAACACAGAAAACGGTAGATTCGAGGTGAAATTTATACCCAAAGTACCCGGTGCTTACAGTATTGAAGTGAAGATTAATGGAGATACACTCGCCAACTCTCCGTTCACTGTGGCGGTGAAGGAGCGTGAACTTACTGTGGTCGGTGAGTTGGATCTGAATTTATTAGAAGGAGAACGGATCAACAATCTATTTGGAATCGCGGTAAATACGAAAGGGAATATTGCCGTAACTGACTGTCATAAACACTGTGTTTACATATTCGATAAAAATGGTAAATGTCTGAGAAAAATTGGAGATAAAGGGCAATTTAAATACCCACTTGGCGTGACATATTTGAAAGATGACGAGATTTTGATTGCAGACACAAATAACAACAGAATACAACAAATTAATATCCAGACAGGAACTGTTGTGAAAACTTTCGGAAAAGAAGGTGAAGGAACAAGAGAGTTCAATCTCCCAACTGATGTTTGTTTGGATGAAGAACGTCGCATTGTTGTGACCGAGATTTCGAGTAATAGGGTACAAGTATTGTCACGTGAGGGAGAGACTATTTCCATCTTTGGAAACATCGGCCAAGAAAAATTAGAACAACCGTGGAGGTGCCTGCCTTACAAAAACAAGTTTTTTGTCTCCGATGGCGGAAATCATTGCATTAAGGCTTTCGATATGTCAGGAACATTCTTACACAAGTTTGGCAAACAAGGCAATCAAGATGCACAATTTAACTACCCGGGTGGTTTGCTAATAGACAGCTCCAATAATCTTCTCGTGTGTGATCGGTTTAATCATCGAGTTCAGCAGTTTTCTCTGGACGGTCGCTTCACTGGTAAAAGTATCACTCATTTACCTTATCCTCATGGAATAGCAGCAACACCAGATGGACGTATTCTCGTGACTACCGCTAAAAAGATTTTCATATTAAAGTAGCTGTTTCAATAGACACTTATTTACTTCACAGTTTGTATTCTACTTCTAATGACCCGAACTGTTTCTTTCCTAATGTGCAATAATCGGAAACTGGAATTTGTAGAAGCTTCATCAAATACAACTGAACTACTCTGCTTTAACATTTCAATTTTGCATACTTGTGGCCTTTTATGCATATTCGTAATAACGTAGCCCACGTAAACATTATAGGATTGTGATTGTCAAGGAATATTTTGCACTAAATACGTCGCGTTAAATACGTTATTTTCTTTCGATAACATAGCAGTAATTGCATATATATTACTTTCTTCTACTAGAGAGAGCGATACGTACCAGGTACTGAAATAGACAAGTACTGTGTGACATCCAGCTCTTGTAAGACCTCGCTCCCAAAAAAAAAAAAAAAGAAAAAGGAAAAACAACCGCGTTATGCAATTGCGTGATTTTATAAGGTTAACCCTTTAACTCCAAGATCTGATTGTTAATTCTCCCCTCTAGCTGCTACACATTTCCTTGTAAATAAGTTACAAGCGTTTGGTGTCAGATCACGATAACAACTTCTATCTGATGAGTTTGAATATTCACATGACCTGTTTGCTGGATAATGTTTAGATATTATAGTGAGAAGTTACATGTGAATCACTTCCGGGAGTTAAAGGTTAAAGGATAACTTTTTTACAATTCTAATTGTCTTATTACTTGAAGAAGTAAGAAGGTGCTTGTAAGACTGTTCTTTATTGTTCTTCCCATTGTTGTTGTGAAAGAGGGATTGGAAAGAGAATGTTTCTGAGACATCAAAATCTGCCTTTATTTGACAGATGGACATCAGTGAAAATAGATGCAAATAAATCAAAACATATTCAACGTATTCGAATGTGCTCTGTTCTGTAGTAAAGCAAATAGGAAGCAGCCAGAGCACGAAAGAAGTGTAGAGGGAAACACGAGACGTAGTCAAGTGTCTCTCCCTACTTCTTGAGAGCAACTGAGAGTATAATCTGATCGGTGGAAGAGGACCACTGGTCTTTTTCAATCAATCAGAATATTCTCTTAATTAAAAGCTTTCAAAAATGTCCAACCATCAAAGTTTACAATATGTAATAGTCCATAAACTAAAATAGTTCGGCAGGTTGTATTCAACACTTCTGCCTGAAGTTTTTTAGTCTTGATAAAGAGTCTGAAAGTGAAATGTTCGGTGAAATCCGGCTGAATTGTGGCTCATATCAATAGTTTCTTCGCATGACAATTAGAAACAAACTGCCCAAGGCGTGTGTTTTATGAATGAACGACAACATGAAGACTCCTCGGGGTGAGAGCACCGTAAAACGCGGCTTCTGTAACTGATGTGGCCTTCCACTTAACGTATTGGAAAGGATATATGAAGGACTGGGGTTTTCGGATATCAAAACCATGACAAATGGCAGTTGTAAAAATTAAATTTTTGAGTTATTTTTTCAAAACAGGCAGACGCCAAAGCGGACAAAATTTAGCCAAATGGGAGCGAGGTTGATTTAATGCGAATTACACTGAGATGATGCCAATGTTGTTACTGTTGGGCGATGTTGAAGTCGAATAAACATTGCCTTGTTCAAATAAAGTACAATCCCACTAACATGGCTCTGAGGCTATGGAGAATGACAAAAAGAAATGAATTATTAATCCCTCAACCTCGATGTGCTTCCTTTGTGTTATTTGCCCAAGCCTCGGAGCCAAGTTTTAATTTTAATATATCGAAAATGGCCTATGAATGGAAGGACATGAATTAATTTTCACACTGAACAGTTAGTCAAATAGGAGTCACAGGCAAACTTTCTTAATGAAGGGGTGAGTTGAATAACTTGAAATTTAAAAGCCGCCTCAGCCACGATCACTTGGAATTGTCCTTCTTGACTGAATGTGAAACATTCTGATGACAACTCATGCGTGAAAGTGCGACCATTGTTTTGCCTTGCAAATCTTTTAAGCGTGACTAAAACGCCCACAGCTTATGAAAAATGTGAACAATCAGTTACTGAAACAATTGTTATCGAGCCACTGTAAAAATGCCTTATCAACAAGGCCATAAAAGGCTGAGGAGCACCCTGTGTAAGGTAAACTAAAAAGTCTCCATTCTTCTATGAGCATCGAACTTTTCGTCTGAGTCAAAAATCAAAATAAAAGGGATCACAGAGCGAAGCGCAGGAAAACGCAAGTGACCTGAAAACGTGACTGGTTTTACTTTTGAATCTGATTGATTTAAGAAAGTGGCACGAATTTTCAGAACAAATCAAAAAACCAAGTAAAGCGAAGCTAAAGTAATCACAGATGACTTTCAACTGACTCCAAATAAAAAAATTACTTCTTAAAACTTCTTAGAGTATGAACAGAAACACCCACGAATCATGACAAATAAGCCTTGTTATGCTAATATCAAAGGCACTTCATCCTAAGCACCTTTATCTCTTCTGCTTTCCATTCAACACCCCTCTCACAAATTTAGATGAAAATTCTTAGCGCAAGCACAATCAAAAGGATATAAACTAAAGTTTAGAAGTTGACCTTTATTTTATAAAACTGTCTTAATGGTGAGTAATTTTGGAAAGTCATAATATGCTATTTTAATTGGGGTACTTTCTGTTGACTTCTTAAAGGCAAAAAACTTTGTTACGGGTTCGTTAGTCGCTCCTTTCAAACCCATAATTTTGGAAAACTGGTGAGTCTCGACTTCGACAAGCAATAAAAAAAAAAATAGCCAGTCTTTTTGGTAAAAAAGGGTCTATCTCATAGTAGATACCTGTTATTTAGAATGACAGCCCAGACAGAAATGAGCTGGTACAAAGACATTTATTCCTAACCTCCTTGAACTTCACCCACGCATGAGGTCTTGAATGTTCGACAAGAATTACACAAAGTTCGTGTAAAACATTAATTACTTCTGGCGACTGGCCAATGTAAAAGAAAGTATCGCATAAAACTAAGTTTAGAATCACCTATGTCGATTCATTCAAGCTGCTATGGCCTTAGCGAGTAACTCAAAAGGAGGCCAAAGAGCAAAAGGAGTCTTCAGGGCATTGGAAATGGTAAAGATCTCATCTTTCCTCATCACCACGCAAGGGTTGTCATGATAATTTTTGAGGTAATCTCTTAGCAAATATCGTTACCTAATAAATATTATCTAACGGCTGAGTAGCTTCGAATTCATTTGAATAGTGATAATTGGCCACGACCTGCGTCAGAAGCTCACGAATGAATCTGGGTGAAGAGAACACCACTCTGCAATAGATATTTAAGGAGTCATGAAAACCACCTTGAACCAGCTTTTATTGATTTTGTGGTTAAATGCATTTGGTGTGAGAAGTGAAGTCAACTCAGGTTTCGGCAACTGCATGCAATACTTTTACAAAAGTACCCCGCCAAGGCTTACTCGCAATTTCTTTAATCCGCCCAGAAGCATCTGCCAACGGTATAACGGTGTCTACTACTATGCCACACTGTACAGCACCAGCTTAAGGATTCCTGTGTATTCAGCTTACACCCTGCCTGGTCCTTGCTCGGGTTCTCCCCAGCCACAGAGAAGGTCCAGATGGTTTGTTGAGCCTCAGGTAGGCAGCTCATTTGACCTAGTAAATCATGAATCGAAACAAGTTGCTGATTAGAAACTTAATTTAAATATCAGTTTGAAATACCAACGGAATTAAAATCTAGAAAAATATGAAAATTTTTACTTCTGCAAGGTAAAGCCGACCACAGCGCATTTATATTACTTCTTTACCAATCGACAGAAGATCATGTTCCACTGTCAAAAAGTATTCCTGTTCTTGTTCGGTGGTTTACAGAGAATAAACCAATGTTCAACCAATTCAGTGAAATTAACTTGACCAAGATTTTACTAAAAAAAGGATTTTATAATTTTAGCCATAATCAGACTTGTTGTTTTTCTCTTAACAGCTCCTGGTAGCCGAGGACACCAGATCTAAGACAAATATGGAGACTGAAACTGAACGCTACAAGACAGAACAAGCGATAAACGCAGACTACAGTAACACAGGTTATGACAGGGGTCACCTCAATCCAAACTTTTACCAATGTGGAGAAGGAAGAACAGCAACTTTTACCTTGACAAACGCCGTTCCTCAAGATCCCTGCTTTAACCGGCAGTCGTGGAAGGAAATGGAAGAAGTCGCTTTGAAGACCATGAGGAAAAATTGCTCTTTTCCCGGCGCCAGACGTTATTTTGTGACGGGAATTGTTCAGCAGAGAATACGAATTCCAAACACAGAACATGACAGGGAAGAAGACGTGACTCACAAAGATTTTAATCGAGTCACCGTCCCTAGTTACCTCTGGACAGCGGTTTGCTGTGATGCTTCAAGTACAACCAGTCCCCAGAATGGGTTCTCATTTGCTTACATCGGCAAAAATACTGCTGACTCTTTCGTGGACATTCTGAAAGTGAGTGAATTGCAGGCGAGACTTACTGGCCTTGAACTCAACGAAGATCGCTACGAAGCGGCCGAAATTTTTGTTGATGATTGCAATGAAAATACGGCAAAATCAGAAACTGCACGAAATGAAGTTGCAGCTCCTGTGAAATTACGATTGGCAAATGCAGCGAATGTAATAGGAAGGATGGAGCAGTCAACTATTCCTCCCAAGAAACGCAAAGTCTTTCATGAGGTATTGGATTTGATTCAAAGCGGTATATCTGCAAATGGTTATTCCCTTACTTCTGACAAGGAGAATATGTTTAACAATCAAACGCTTCCCTAGGGGGTAATCATTTCTTGTATTCTTTTGACCTTAATGTTTAAATCAGGAGTAATATCATAAGGAGATATCAGATGCTAGTCACTCTAAGGGGTCAAAAGGATAAATGAGGGTTAATTTATTTTAACTCCACGCGTCAATTTACGACTTGAATACGTAAGCCAGAATTCTAAGTCAATAATGCGTGAAAACATATAAACAATCAAAACAAAGAAGAAACCCAATCGGCCATGATCTTCTACAAGAAAAGCGTTACTGCTTGATGATAGCCCAGTTTCTAAATATAATTAACTTCAGTTCATAAGGTCACTCAGCTACATCCTGTTTTTCTTAGTACCGTCCCCCCCCCAGGTGAAACGGAAACGAGGGAACATCTACGCAAACCTGACACTAATCGTGTTCCCTGACGTCACTCTCTTGCAAGAAAATGTATAATGACTTCTTATTGGTGAACCCCTTTTGCCAATTATTTCGTCAATTCTGATTGGCGGGAGTTGGTAATTTCATCATCATCATCATCATCAATCTTTATTTATACACGAAATCATATCATTTTACATGGTCTTCCTAAGAATCGTGTTTAAATTATACTAAAATACTTTAAGAACTATTGACTATAATGTTAAACATACAAAAACAAAAACAAAAACTTATATCATGAGTAACAAGGAACTATTTACTATAATGTTAAAAATACAAAAACTTATATCATGAATAATAAGAGTTACAATGGTGTATCGGAGAAATCTTTCCCATGAAACGAAGTTTTAAAAACATTCAAACTAGTCAGTTTTTTAACCTCAGAAGGAATCCTATTCCACAGAACAGATCCTCTGTAGTGTAGGCTCCCTTTTGCAGACTCAGTTCTGGGTCTGGGGACATAATAATTTAGCTCAGAATTTCTAAGATTGTGTGGGTGTACATTTGAGGTGTTGGTAAAGATCCGCTTCAGATACGATGGGGAAAGATTATTATGTATTTTATACATTGTCACAGCCAACTGTTTAAGTCTTACATGTTCTAGCCTTTCCAAGCCAAGCTCATCCAAAAAAACACTTGAGCAAACGTCATAGTTCTTGAAAAAGTCCAATGTCATGGCGGTCGGACGTGTTTTTATGTCGTCTGCATTTCTTCTATGTTTTTCGGTTCCTCTACTGTTTTCTGTAGAGGACGCTGAGCCACAGCATAGAGCAAGCTTTTCTTCGTACCTTTGGTCATTCTGAGATGAATTTAAGTCAAACTCGAATGAATTCAACCTGGATCTACTACCGGTCCCGCTGCGTGCTGACGGCCATTTTGCTCCTCTTACCCGCAAGAAATTCTTCAGGGCAAGGGTAGCATACTTTACTAACCACACAGCATCCTTTAACCCTGTGGAAGTCACCTTGGTACGAAGTGGCGATGTTCACCCTCAGCCTGGACCAGTTAAACATTCGGATTCAAGTCAAGAACGCCATGTCACCTTGGCCCATATAAACGCTCGTTCTTTCAAGAACAGAAATCACTTTATTCTTATTAATGAAGTTGTCCTAGCTAAAAAATTTGATATCCTATGTGTCAGCGAGTCTTGGCTGGACAGCTCCATATCTGACATCGAGCTCGATATTCCTGGCTACAATATTTATCGCCTTGACCGTACAAACAAACCCGGAGGCGGCGTTTGTACCTTCGTAAAACAAAAAAAAGTGTCAAATGAAAGGTTATCTACTCGGCAAAGTGGCAATAAGAAATTGCACTCTACGGAAACCTCTTTAATACGAACTACTGATACTCTCTTAAGTGCGATCGATGAGAAGAAAGTTACCGCTGTTGTTTTACTTGATATGAGCAAAGCCTTCGATACTATAAGCCATGGAATATTGCTCAATAAACTGTTGAACGTTGGAATCTCACCATCAAGCATTGCTTGGTTTACCAGCTACCTCTCCGACCGCCGACAAGTTGTGCGCATAAATTCTGAGTTGTCTGATCCTCTACCCGTTGTATCAGGTGTGCCTCAAGGAAGCATTCTTGGACCTATGTTGTTCAGTATTTATGTAAACGACTTACCACTCGCCCCCCTTTCCTGTTTTACTGAAAGTTACGTCAATGACACAAAACTTTACATTTCTTTCCCAGTCCACGACTGGGCTAAATCTGCACTGTAAAATGAAAAGAGCCAAATTGACCCCAAAAGCCAAATTGGCCCCAATTTCTCGAGGGCCAGTTTGGCCCATCAAGGTTCGTTTTGGACTATTTGAGCCAAAACGGGCGGGACAGGTACCATTTCGACCCCTCCAAAATCTGAATTGGCCCCTATGAATTCTACTTTGGAACTTTTTCTCAATTTGGCCCTTCCAAGAGCCAAGTAGGATTGACCAATTTGGCCCCAAAGAGGTGCAATTTTTGAAAAAAAAAGAAAAAATAATTTTCTTTTTTCGACCATATTTCGTTCCCTATACTATTCCTTATAAAGTGTTCAAATTTTCAACGGTTCCTCTCGTAACTGAACACCGAGTCACACAACGAATTAATCGTTGGCTTTTTCTCGAGACGTGAGCGTCAGCTGCCTGTGATGGCATTAGTCGAACCGCCCTAGACCACGTGCGTCGGAAACAATGAATTATAGCAGCGAATTCGTCACTGAAGTGGCTGTTTCTTGGCTACAGTCGCATGGAATGAGACTTAAGAAAGGAAAGGTAGGCAAAAGAAATTTCTTAACAACGTATTTTACTGCAACTTTACATTCACAAACTTGACCGCTCCATTGATCTTTGTTCGTATCTTATCTTGCAGAAAAAGACGGTTGCGATGGCCAAGATCTCCTTGCCATCGCCCAAGATGCAGACGTACCAAGGCACTACATCCCTATTATAAAAGAGCGTCTAAAGCTCAAGAAATTGATTGCAATGAACGCTGAACCTAGAGATGACACGAGTTCTTCGTCGGTACGATAATTAATTTTCCCACCAGAGAATTTGACGCATGAATAGTTCGCCTCTTCTCCCGAGTCTCGTTGAGTCTCAGCGGTTTCGCAATTAAAGTCACGTGATCAAATTTTGGCGCCGAGAGATAGAGACGGTTACAGTTCGAATACTGCATTTGCACAAGATGGATTTAACTTATTTCAAGATTCTCTGATTTTAGGATCTCTCACTCTGAATTCTTAATCTTTTTCTTGAAAAGATGAACTGATATTTTTATGTCTATGTCTTTGTTTGCATCCACTTAAGCTGATTTTTTGGCTCTCACTCTTTCAGCGTGCAGAATCAAGTCCTTCGAGTAAGACGGTTCAAACGTCGATTGATGATTCAAATAACATCAGCGATTATGGAAATTTAGAGGTGACATTGGCACCGAAAGAAAAGGGTAAATCGCCCAAGGATCTCTGTTTTACGGACGAGGCGACAGAACTGAGCACTGTCTAAGTAAGTTCTTGCATATTAAACTTAGCAGGATGGTGAAGAGTACATTATCGATTACTTTCTTTCGATTATATCCTAAAGGAAAACACACAAGGTGCCAGTTGGTCAGTTAAAGATGACAAATCTCGGGGATTGCACTTACAAAAATGGCGAGATTTGCTTTATTTTTATTGAAATATATTAGATATGTATTTACTTGCACCATGCATGAAACAAAGTAAACCCAATTTTTAAATCTGGTAAATTAAAAAATTAGTGAATTGATAGGATGTTATCAGACAGTTTAATTTTTTTGAAAACAAATATTTACCTACAGGTTCCTCCTGAATGGCTTTCAAAATTCCAACTACCATCGAGGGTAAGAAACTTTTCTTTGTTTTGTTTTTTAAGTCTACAAGCAATCCTTATTTATTCATGAATACTGAACTAAAACTGAAGTGCATAGAGGTATGATTTCTTTTCTTGATAAGTACATATACAGTTTGGTGAAAATACATCATTGATGATCACCATTATTGTGTTTTTACTTCTTATGCACAGTTTGCTTACAAATATTTTGCAACTTTGTAGTTGCAAAAATTTACTGTTCTCCAACAACAAATTAATTTGCTCATTTGTTTGTTTTTTTGTACAGTTCTCTGCCTCAGTAGAGTTGGATACCAAGAAGGGATATCTCATCAGCAGCCTAAAGTACTCTGAGAAACAGTGGATTGCAAAAAAAAATTATTGCAGAGTAGCCTTGTATGGTTAGCAGGATACTAGACTAAGTTGACTTGGAAACTGAATGGATTGGTATGGTCTAAAAATCTATTGCTTCACCTCTTAAACTAAAAAGTTGCAAAATAATCACTCTCACCTTTTAAGTTCATGACCTTTGTTCTTGTGTGTTTGTCATCACATGCATTTAATGAAGTTGTGACCATTTTGGAGGTACAAGTCCAAAAAACTGCTACTTTGGTACTAAGATGAACAGCTAAAATTTCTGAGCCCATTTGCCAATGAAGTCCAGATACAAAGGTTCAAGTACTTTGGGGTTGTATTAATTTTGCCTTTTTGTTTAGTTTTTTTGATTTTGCAATTTTTTAAAATATTCCTGTTGTCAAACCATTAGATAAATATTGGACATAGAATAGCTGATTTTTTTCAGATATTTTGGGAGTCATACATTACTTTTTCAAGTCTTGAATGGGAGACAAATTACACACATTGAGCTAAACTTCCACTTCCATTTCTGGTGTTTTAGCTTGTAGTTTTAGAAAAACAATATATATATATATGTAAATGTGGGGGTAGAGTCTACCTTGGCATAAAGTGCTCAATGCTGTGGTAGCAGAGCTAAGTATACATAAGTTAAAGAATTAAAGAGGACACATCAGTTCTATGTGACTCTGAATTTCGCACTTAAGTGCTTGTCAGACAGAACTTTTCTGTCTGACAAGTGCTTAGGTGCAAAACTCAGTCACAGAGAATTGATGCGTCCTCTTTAATTCTTTAACTTAAGTGTGTATATATATATATATTCTTTTTTTTTCTGGCTACAGGCACTTTTTGTACTTTGGCTTGATTTTAATGTGGTTGTAAAACTTGTTTTTATTGCATAGAGTAGCTGATGTTGATTCAGCAATAAGAGATTATGTCCAGCTCAAATTTTAATTGTTGGAGATCTTCAATACATCAATCACCTGAATATAGTAACAGAGGGAAGTGTAATTTTGTCACTTCTCACAAGAAAAGATTCTTGATGCTCTCATTGGGTTACTTGGCTCATTTATATTTTCTTACAATCGGTCAAAGGCAATTTGGACTTTTTTTAGAGCAAGCATTGCTTGAAATTGGGCACAGGCAGACTCTTGTCACTGTTTCCTCTATTTTCAATGACTTGGCAAATACCTGCGGTAGTACTTGCTGATAGTTTATATTTTGATAATATCTAAAGTAGCAATATGAGTGCATGTATTCTCAAATCCACTGGAAGAATACTCTTTGCTGCTCTAAGGCTTTTTGTTTTTCATATGCACAAATCAAACAAGATCTATATTCTTGTGCAGTAACTGGACCATTTGTTGCCTCTGTCTTATTTTGATAATTTTCTGTACTTTAAATCAGTCTTAATTATAAGCTGCTTTACATTACTGCATTTGCTAAGTCATTGAAAAGGGAAGCTTTACTCACAAGTGTCTCTTGAGTGTAATTTCTTGCAATGCTTGCACTATTAAGAAGTATACTGATTTAGGGAAGAGATCTATTTTAGAAAATGGTTGAATTAATGTTAAATATGTATGTATGTTATATTCTTTCACATGATGTTTTAAAGTTTGTCTGTTTTATACCACAATTAAGATTCGTAATAACTGTAAAATCAGGTAGCGTAAAAGGTTTTTACATAAACAATATCTAGAACCTAATAAATGAGTGTTTGAAAGATAAAGTATGTGGTGTATTTTCATTATTTGAATGTAAGGGGGAAAATCAGCATGGAGAGGAAAGAGCCCTCTACTTCTGAAGTGGCCCACATTGGAGCTGAATTGGCTCTTTTTAAAGGGGCCATTTGTGAGAGGGCTGAAATTTCTGGGGCTGTTTTGGCCCCTATAAATTTCAAAGTGGCCCCTGTATTTTTCAAATTCACCCTTCACATGGTCCAATTTGGCCCCTACAACGGGGTCAATTCAGCCCCAAAATTGGTGCCAAAAACAGCCCCATTTCAATGGGGCCGAATTGACCCTAAGCGAGTGCCAAACTGGACTCACTCGTTTTGGCCCCATTTTTGGGGCCAAATCAACTCTTTCAATTTTACAGTGTGTCACCGATTTAAACGCCGATCTTTTACATATTCGAAACTGGTGCTTCAATAATCGTCTTCTTTTGAATCCTGATAAAACCAAACTCATTGTTTACGGAAGTCGACAAAGGCTACTAAACCTCCCCGATATCCGTCTCTCCCTCTTAGGAAAAGAGCTGACACCGGAGCACGTCGTTAAAGACCTAGGTGTGATTTTTGATTCGAACCTAACTTTCCACGAGCACATTGTTAAAACTGTTTCCACCTGTTTCTCAAGTTTGGCCCAGATTAATCGTGTTAAGCACGTATTTGACAGATCGACTTTAACTACTATAATTAACACTTTAGTATTTAGTAAGTTGTTTTATTGTTCCTCCGTCTGGTCCAATGCTGCTAACACTAACCTCCTCAAGCTCCAAGCGATCCAGAACTTTGCAGCCCGGATTATTTGTGGATCCAGAAAATTTGACCACGTTACTCCGCTTTTGAAAGAACTGCATTGGCTACCTATTAAATCTCAGCTATACTTCCGTGACGCCGTGCTTGCTTTTAAATGTATGACTGGATCCGCTCCTACTTACCTCTCTTCGAAGTTTCTAACGCGCGGTAATGTTAGCGGTCGCACGACCAGAAGCTCCCAACTGTTGCACATACCATTATACAAAACTAAATCTGGACAAAGAACTTTTTATTATCGCACTGTCAGCCTGTGGAACAGTTTAGATAATGATCTTAAATTTTGTAATTCTTCTTCTAATTTTAAGCGTAAACTTAGGGCCAAATTATTTGCTGCTTTTCTTTCTCCTCGGTCCTGGTTTTTAATCATATCATATATTTTTTATTGTCCTTTTTTAAAGTTTCTTAGTTTTTATCTTACCCATTTTATCGTACCTTCTTAAAGTTTCTTAGTTGTAATTTTCGTAATTATTTTTAGCTTTATAGATTAAACATTTTTATTATTGTAATTATTAATTGTCACTGAAAAGCCCTCTTAGGGTGTGTCAATAAAGTTTGTATTGTATTGTATTGTATAGTTAGAAAAGGTGAGAATTCTAGCAGCCCTATTCTGCAGCTTTTGAAGATTGTCTGCTAGTCCCTTATTGATATTACCCCATACGGCACTACAGTAATTAAAATATGGCATCACCAGTGCATTATACATATTCACTCTAGTATCAAGTGGTAAAAAATTACTTACACGCCTCAAGATAGCAATACCAGCGGATATTTTCTTTAAAATGGTATGAATGTATGGGTGCCAGCTTAAAGGTTCAAATTGATGAATCTTTAAGCTGGCACCCACGGGTTTTATGTTCAATTACTCTTTCTAAGGGAGTGTTATTGACTTTGACTGTGAAGTCACTATTTATTTGGGATAACTTAAATTGGCTCCCTATAAGCATGTATTTAGTGTATTTAGTCTTCTTCACATTTAAAGTTAATTTGTTTGCTGACAGCCATGACTGGATTAAAATCATATCATAATTCATTTTATATTCAAGGACCCATGGGTCTTCTGCAGATGTGGTAAGGGGAGTATCATCTGCATACAATCTGGGTTTTGAAAACAAATCACATGAAGGGAGATCATTAATATAAATAGTGAATAAGAGAGGGCCTAAAATAGACCCCCGTGGAATACCACATGTTATATTACAGAAATCAGATTGAGCTCTATCAATGAACGTTTGTTGCTTTCGATCAGATAGATAGGACTGGAACCAGTTTAGAGATTGAGAACTGACCCCATAGAGTTAAAGCTTTCCCAGAAGGATAGCATGATCCATGGTATCAAAAGCTTTTTTCAAGTCTAGGAATATCACCCCATTTAAGAGACTGTTGTCAATATTCCATAGCCATTCATTCGTAGCCTCAAGTAAAGCTGTTTCAGTAGAAAACATAGGTCTGAAGCCAGATTGTGATTCAGTTAACAAGTTATTATTATTAAAATATTCATACAATTGATCAAAAACAACCCTTTCAATTAATTTACTCACTACAGGCAGAACTGAGATAGTTCTGTAGTTGTTAGGATCAGTCCTGAGGTCTTCTTTAAATATTGGCGAAACTCTGGCTCGCTTCCAAGCTTTTGGAAATATTCTGGTGGCAATTGACTGATTTATTATAAAAGTTAGACTACGAGTAACTATGGGAGATGCTTCTTTCAGCAGACGCGCTGAGATGTTATCAAGACCACTAGCTTTATTACTGGGTATTTTCTGAATTAAATTGAAGACCTCCTGGCATGATACTTTCGCCAAGTTAAAAATGTGTCCTACAGGGGTAATATAATCAGTAAAATTGCTGGATGTGTCTTTAATTTCAGAGGCTAAGGAAGGTCCTATTTTGGAGAAATTGAGTATATTACTGATTTCGATGGGGTCGGTATTTACAGTATCCCCAGTATCCAGCTGAGTTATCTTATTAGATTTAGGTTCATTTCCAATTAGTCTATTAATTCCTTTCCAAGTTGCCTTTATGTTTCTGCGGTTATCTTTAAAGAAGGCATTGTAATATTTCATTTTAGCATTCTTAATCTCATGATTAACCTTATTCTTCATGTGTTTGTAAGAAGTCCAATTGCAATCTGTACGGAACCTCGAGGCTAATTTTTTAAGTTTATCTCTCTGAAACATTAGCCTTTTTAGCTCCGGAGTAATCCAGGGGGAAGAGATTCCTTTCACTCCCTTCTTCTTTAGTGTTGCATGGCTATTAGCAATGTCTAAGAACATATGTTGCCATATATCCCAAGCAGTGTCAGGATTATGCTCCTGTTCAATCAGATGCCACGGGACCATAGATAAATCAGTTCGAAAACTATCTGGAATAAAATTTTTGAAACATTTGTTCGTTACAGTCTTTGGATTTGATTTGGGGATACAAATCTTTCTTATTGCATACACCAGACAGTGATCACTGATTCCGATATCGACGACTCTGGAGTTTGTTTGTTTGGATGAAGAACATCGCATTGTTGTAACCGAGTATTCGAATGATAGGATACAGGTAATGTCACGTGAGGGAGAGACTATTTCCGTTTTTGGAAACATCGGCCAAGAAAAATTAAAAAAACCAAGGAGCTGCTTGCCTTACAAAAACAAGCTGTTCGTCTCCGATAGCGGAAATCATTGTATTACAGCTTTTGACAAGTCAGGAACATTCTTACACAAGTTTGGGAAAGAGGGAAATCAAGATGGACAAGTTAACTGCCCAAGTGGTTTGCTTATAGACAGCTCCAATTATCTTTTGCTGTGAGATCAATGCAATAACCGAGTTCAGCAGTTTTCTCTGGACGGTCGCTTCACTGGAAAAAGTGTCATTCATTTACCTAATCCGCGTAGATTAGCAGCAACACCAGGTGGACGTATTCTCGTGACTACCCCTAAAAAAATTATCGTATTAAAGTAGCTGTTTCAGTAGACACTTATCTACTTCGCAGGTTGTATTCCTAATGTGCAATAATCGGAGACTGGAATTTGTAAGTTTCTTCTCGAAGAAACTTTATCAAATACAACTGAACTAATTAGCTTTCAGATTTTAAATTTGGTTTGCTGGTGGCGTTTATGTATATTCGTAATAATGTA